GATTAAAAAAAACATCCTTTTTATTTGAAAATTAAAGGGTCTTTTTTAAAAACCCGGGAATTTAAAAAGAACTATTTAGTTGGCTCCTTTCCGTAAATTTTTCTCCTTTTAGGGGGTTTTGAAAATAAATTTTTTTTTTACTTAATAAAAAAAATTTTTGTACCCAAAAAGGGGAATCGAAAAAATAACTAAAAAAACAAGGGTTTAATAATTGATCCAACTAAAATTTTGTAATTTCACAATTTAAATAAACAAAAAAAGAAAAGTTTTTTGGAAGTTTTAAAAATTTTAAATCAAATTTCCCGTTATTGGGGCGGCTTTGATTTTAAAAACCCCCCCCCCTTTTGTTTTTTGGAAGGCTGTTATTTATATTTTTTTTTATTTTTTATAACCCTTTTGGGATTTTTATATTTTTTTTAAAAAAAACTAAATTTATATTTATGAAAAATATGGAACAAAATTTTAAAATTTTAAGGCTTTCCCCTTTTACTTTTCTTAAAAAAAAAAGGGTCTTGGGGGCAAAACTGATCAAATCCCTCCCAGCCCCTGGGGGTTTTAGAAAACCCTCTGGGTTAAAATTTTTATATTAAAGGATTTTTTTTTGAAAAACTCAAAATTTTCCAAAATTTTTCCCTTTTAAAAAACAAGTTTAAACTTCCCCTTTGTTTAATTTGGGTGTTTAAATTTATTTTCCAAAAGAAAAATTATTATTTTAAAAGCTTTTTTAAGGAATTTATTTTTAATCCCCGGGGTTGGGCCTTTTTTGTTAATTTTTAAAAGGTTTTTTAAAAAAAGGGTTTTAAAAATTTATTGTAAGGGGTTGGAAATTTTCCAGCAACCCCCTAAATTTTTTTTGGTTTTTTTTAAAGAAATTGTTACTTTTCCAAAAATTAATTTTAAAAAATTTTTGAAATTTTTTAAGGGGGTTTTAAACCCCCTTTAAACCCGGGGGGGAGGGTTTGAACTTTTTTTTAAATTTTTACACAAAAAATTTAAATTTTTGGGGGGAAACCCTTTTACCGGGGAGCTCCTTTTTTTTTAAATTTTTTTGGGGTGTTAGTACGGGTGCCCCAAATAACCCTTTCTTTCCCCCCCAGTTTCCCCTATTTTTAGTTTTAGTGTTTTTGTTGGGATTAAACTTCAAATTGGGGCCCCCATATATATATATAATATTATATATATATATATATTATATATATATATATATAATATATGCAATAAAATCACAGTAAACAGGTGATATCACAATATGCAGAAAAACCACTGTGAACAAATTTTGAAATTCCAAGCGCTTTCCTGACTTCTTACATTGTCAAGGAACTATAAAAAGCAAAACACCAACAGGAAAGCATATAAAGGGGCAAGACTGCACCTCACAATCACGTCAAAACATGACTACACCTCGCAGTCGCATGACAACACCCAACTCTGTGAAACACACCTGATACTCTACCCAAGCACTAAGATTTTTTGCTTGTCTAATGCATCATTAAATTCTTCCCAAATTTTATTCATTATAAAAGAGTCTAATGCATAATTAAATTCTTCCCAAATTTTATTAATTATAAAATTGTCTAATTTATATAAACCAAAAGAAATATATTATTTTCAGAAATGCTTTTTATGAGACATGATTCTATTATATTCCTGTCGACCATGGACTTGTTTGATACAACTTTCTCAGCCTTTTGAAAATCAATTGGATGGTTAAAATCTCTCACATGAACAAATAGAGCATTGGAATCTTGTCCAGTTCTAATGCTATATTTATGTTGTTTTAATCTTAGTTCGAGACTTTTACCAGTCTGACCGTAATAGACTTTATCGCATATTTTACAAGGGCTCTTATAGACACATCCATCAGCATTTCTGGGGGAATCAGAAGTTTTTTTTTTAAACTTTTGATAGGCTCAACAGTGCTTCAGACTGTGTCAGGGAAGGATAGAGGCCGGTTCCTGGGAGCGAGAGCTCCTCATTCAGAGGACTTTCTGTTGGCTGTTCCCAACTCCAGCCTTGGCACACGCCTCGACCCACAGATCATCCGCATTGGCGTTGCCCACCGACTTGCCGCCCTATTTTCGCCGAAAATATGTGTATTTGTGGCAGTGAAGCAGCAGACCGATTCGGGTACCATGGTCTTGTGTACCGTAAATCCGAGGGAAAAATTGCAAGACATAAAGAGGTTAATAACGTAAAGAGGAGCCTCACAACAGCCGGATGCCCAACAGTAAGGGAGCCACCCCAACTATGCAGATCTGATGGCAGCCAAAAGCGTCGAGATGGTATCACCCTTCAAGCCTGAACAGACGGCAAGCAGGTGGTGTGGATATACACATGTGCATCTACCTTGGCTGATACCTATCTCCAATACACCAAGGAGGAAGGAGGAGCAGCTGCCAGCTCCAGGGAGTCCCAAAAGTCCAGGCAATATGGAGAACTTGCCCATCATTATATGTTTGTTCCCATAGCCTCAAAGACCCTTGGCTCATGGGGAAAGAGTGCATCTAAGTTCCTTAAAAAGGAGCTAGGCAAAAAACTTATCAGGGTAACTAGGGATTCCAGGGCAGTTAGTTTTCTCTTCCAGCGACTCAGCACTGCTGTTCAGAGAGGTAATGCCTGCTGTAACTTGGGCACTCGCCCCAGCTCTGAGGAGCTGGATGAGATTTTCACGTTATAATCAATGATAAACACTTAATATGTACTAGACATGTATCTCTCGCACCTCATGTACTGTATATGTCATCTTTATATCAACAATGCATCTCTTAAATCTTTTGTACCATATTATGTAATAAAATATACCTACTGGAAAAAAAGAATAAACAGATGGGTTTGGAGGGGACGTGGAATATTCAAATGGCTTCAGGAAGAAATCCAAATATTCTTTCTGGAAACCTTTTTATCCACTTTTCCGAGGACTATGATGGGTCCCACAATTTGCACCAGAGGTGGATTCTATCCTCTCTCTCTCTCTCTCTGTCTCATATATATATATATATATATATATATATATATATATATATATATATATATATATATATATATATATATATATATATATATATATATAAACATGCACTATTCTACACGTAACAGAAAATGAACTTGTTAACAGCAAAGTTGTGTTGTGCTTCACCCCCTCACCTCAACCCACTACCTCTTACTCTCTATGTCTTCCCTTCCCCTAACGCCTTCCCTGTCTCCCCTCATCAGCCCCCCCCCCCGACCCCTCCCCATGATAAAATTCCCAGTCGCAATATTTACTCTGGTTTCCTGGACTACCAGGAAAAACCCAATTTCTGACCAGATACGTGAAAGTTTGCAGCCAGCAGGAATGAATGAAGGACTGAGAATAAACTGATGTGAGTGCGAGTGAATGAATATGAATCTGAAAGCTTCGTGAATGAGAACGTTAACGACGTTGTGGGTATGAATGTGTGAATTACTTAAAGTATGAGTGAGGACGGGAAAGCAAACTGGGATGCTAGTTATTTTAAGAGTTACCTCTACTCTCGTAGCCTGGCCTGAGGCCATACTTTCACATTGCCTGCCTGGTCAACCAGCCTGTCGCTGCCAGCGTGCCACTGACCTACACAGCCATGACGTCTTGGCTGACACGGCACTTCAAGAAACTTGCCCTGTTTTTTCTTTGAAAAAACTCAACCTTCGTTATTTCTTACATTTGGTTGAAGATTCTTGGATTACATGTTTTAAAATATTGTTCCCTATATGTGAACTAGGCCCTTTTTGGGGCCTAGTTCCTAGGCCTTTTGTGTATCCATATGGTTATAGGGATGGTTATAGGGTGCAAAATAAATTAGTCACTTCGGTGGCAAAATCTAAAATATCTAATTTTCGTCTTTCTGTTGAATTTATCCTATTTTTTTTCTCCCGTATCTCCAGCAAATTACGCCAGTGTGCGGATTTGGAACGGGACCCTCAAGTACAGTATTTTTCATGTGTATAGTCTCTGGTATCTCTCTTCCCTCTTCAAAGATTAAATTCCAAGTTCTGTGAGGCGTTCCCAGTAATTTAGGTGTTTTATTGATCCTCTGGGGACAGAAAAAGATTTCTCTACATTTTCCCTGCTCTGATCTCTCTCCTGCCATGGTGGTGTATGCAACATGTGCATGCCATTACGGTGTCCCTTAGCTCGGTTGTTAGCGCACTCAGCTCACACACAGGTCCGTGGTTTGATCCCGACACGGATGGAAACGCTGAGGCATGTTTCCTCAAGACACCTGCTGTCCCTGTTCGCCTAGCAGTAAATAGGCACCTGGGTGTTAGCAGACTGGTGTGGGTCGCATCCTAGGGACAAAACCTAATTTGCTCGAAATGCTCAGCATAGCAAGTGGCTTTCTATATAGTATGTCACACATGTTAGCATGGTCTGTAAACGTTGTACATGTACTTGTAGAAATAAAGATTATTATTATTAATATTCTTACATGTGTGTGCGTGTATCTTTATAGGTGTTGTAGGTATGTAGCATAAAAGGTGTGTGTCATATGTGTAATATAATAGGTGTTTTACCTGGAGAGAGTTTCGGGGGTCAATGCCCCCGCGGCCCGGTCTGTGACCAGGCCTCCTGGTGGATCAGCGCCTGATCAACCAGGCTGTTGCTGCTGGCTGCACGCAAACCAACGTACGAGCCACAGCCCGGCTGATCAGGAACTGACTTTAGGTGCTTGTCCAGTGCCAGCTTGAAGACTGCCAGGGGTCTGTTGGTAATCCCCCTTATGTGTGCTGGGAGGCAGTTGAACAGTCTCGGGCCCCTGACACTTATTGTATGGTCTCTTAACGTGCTAGTGACACCCCTGCGTGTTGTGGTTATGTATTACGGGTGTAAAATTACAGGTGTGTAACACTACAGGTAACGTAACAGGTGTGCAACATTACAGGTAACATAACAGGTGTGTAACATTACAGGTAACATAACAGGTATGTAACACTACAGGTGTGTAACACTACAGGTGTGTAACATTAGTATGTTTTTACAGATGTGTTGCAGCTGCAGTTGTACCGAGACAGTCGTGACCGGGCGAAAGGCGCAGCTACTAAAGCATCGCTGGCACTACAGAACGTCCTGGCACTAGAAACTGGTGAGTGACACTCAGTCATGTACTCACACTAACCTCAACCCCTTACTCACCCTCCTTACCCTCACTATAATCCCGAATACACCCTCACCTCAATCCATAATTCACCCTCCTTACCCTCACAACAGTCCTTAATTCACCCTCCTTACCCTCACAACAGTCTTTAATTCACCCTCCTTACCCTCACTCCATGATGTTTTTCACATAACAGTAACCCCATCCCTGTTGGAAGGTAACCTTTAAAACCTTGATAGCTAGGAACTCATGGTGGGTTGCCTGGCGATGTCCTCATCGCACTACTGAAGTCTCCCAGGCTCTGGCTTTGAGACTTCTGTAGGGCTGATGTATGAAATTTGTCTGCGTGGTGGAATATGACACAGAAACACAGCTATCTTTTGTTACCAAAATGTAACTATCATGCAAATTATGGCATTCGCCCATTGTTGGTTTTCTCACAATGTAATTATCATATAGAACAGCATTGTCACAAACTGCGGGTCTTCCCACAATTTAACTATCATGCAGAATAGGGTAGCAACACACTTCGGGTGTTCCCACAGTGTAAATTGTTCGGTGTGTAGCAGCACACTGCAGGTGTTCCCACCATATAGCTGTCATGAAAATTGGGCAGCGACATACTGTAAATGTTATTTAAAAGTGTCAGGTTGAGGTAAGTACCCTCACTAAGTTAGCTTACAGTGGTACCCTCACAAGGGTAGCTTACAGTGGTACCTTCGCAAGGGTAGTTTACAGTGGTACCCTCACAAGGGTAGCTTACAGTGGCACCTTCGCAAGGGTAGCTTACAGTGGTACCTTCGCAAGGGTAGCTTACAGTGGTACCTTCGCAAGGGTAGCTTACAGTGGTACCCTCGCAAGGGTAGCTTACAGTGGTACCCTCGCAAGGGTAGCTTACAGTGGTACCCTCGCAAGGGTAGCTTACAGTGGTACCCTCGCAAGGGTAGCTTAGTGGTACCCTTGCAAAGGTAACTTACAGTGGTACCCTCGCAAGGGTAGCTTACAGTGGTACCCTCGCAAGGGTAGCTTACAGTGGTACCCTCGCAAGGGTAGCTTACAGTGGTACCCTTGCAAGGGTAGCTTACAGTGGTACCCTTGCTAGGGTAGGCTACAGTGCCACCCTCACTATGGTAGGCTACAGAGCCCCATCATTAGGGTAGGCTACAATGCCACCTTCACTAGGGTAGGCTATAGTGCCATCACTAGGGAGGCTACAGTGCCCCACCACTAGGGTAAGCTACAATGCCACCCTCACTAGGGTAGGCTATAGTGTCACCGTCACTAGGGTAGGGTACAGTGCCACCATAACTAGGGTAGACTACAGTGCCACCCTCACTAGGTAGGCTACAGCGCCACCCTCACTAGGGTAGGCTACAGTGCCACCCTCACTAGGGTTGGCTACAGTGCCACCCTCACTAGGTGAGCTACAGTACCACCATCATTAGGGCTGGCTACAGTGCCCCTATCACTAAGGTAGGCTACAGTGCCCCTATCACTTAGGTAGGCTACAGTGCCCCTATCACTTAGGTAGGCTACAGTGTCTTCATCGCTAGGGTAGGCTACAGTTCCACCCTCACTAGGGTAGGCTAGGAGTGTTCCTCTACTTAACGTTAAAATATCGAGTGCATATAAATACAACAGTCTTTCAGTCAGCGCCCTACAAGATAAATTGAGGAAACACTAATTCCAGACCAGACCTCCTGGTGCTAACAGCAGGTAATTTCTGGAAATGGTTTAAGGATCTTGAGTTCCCTCTAAAACTCAGCGTGGTGATCAGTACATAAGCTTCTCAAAAATTGCCAAGTAAATCTGTTGTCAGGAAAATATTTCCTGGCTAAGCAATTTTCCTAAATAAAATCTTTGTGATGCGATATTATTGTGCTGTGTTATGTGCTTAAGAAAATGACAAAGGACACAGGAATCAATCAATAAATAATATATCACTTTGTTCTCTTAATATAGCCTTGTATTCCTTGTTCTCTTAATATGGTCTTATTCTGGTCTCTTCATTACTGTGCGGTCTTCTAAAAGCACACGAGTAGGAAGATCCTGTACAAATATATTATGGACAGAACGACCTACCAAAGTACCGTAGGGAGTATGACGGGGAGTACGACGTACATAGAATGAGCAGTACGACCGTCTACAAACATACTGTGAGGAATATGACCTTTTACACAGAGTGAAAAGTAGCACCTACAAACCAACAGTGAGCAGTACGACCTACATACTGTATTAAAGTTGGTAGAATTACCGACAATATGTTAGGTAAAAGGAGGCAAGTGCAAGTAATGTGACATTTTATTGTGGCAACGTTTCGCTCTCCAGGAGCTTTATAAAGCCGTTACAAACAATATATGGACACAGAGGGTATATATAAGCTTAGAGTGAGGTGTAATACTAGTGTAATATTACACCTGCGTACACCACCAGTTCTGTTTGTGACTTGAAAAAGCCCACTGTGTGGGCGAAACGTAGTCAATAAAGGATCACATTATACTGCATGTGTGTTTATATTTCCATGACCTCTGGACTTCTGTTGCTTACACTTCTTGATATAAATCCCAGTCACGACGAACGACACCAATCAGAATCTCTACAACCACAGTCTTTCACAGGTCCGTCAAGACACACCAGAGCACTGCTTACTCACGATGCATTACTCTAACAGAGTAAAGATCAAACCAGCGAGTGGCACAACCAATGAGTCGTCCAAACTAGCACTTGCAGCTGTCGTTAGTGGCAGGCTGAAAGTCAAATGTAATGCGATTTTATCGCTCAAAGAGGCCTTTGTTGTCGTCTGTACAGACGACACAGAGGCTGAGAAACTACTTACCACCACTGCTACTACCACTCTACGAGACCAGGGATTTCTTGTCTTGACTTCCCCAGCACTGAGGGCCAGGAGAACTGTGTTCCTCAAGCGACTCGACAACCTTATCACTGTACAGGCCACTGAAGAAATCAAGTCATCTATCGAAGCAAAGAGCCCTTGGGCCAAGGTGGACTTCATTACTAAAATACCCAATGCTTCATCCATGCTGAAGGTCACCTTCAGTGACGTCAACATGGCAGCCAGAGCTCTCGCTGAGGGCCTGGCTATTCACTACTTTCCACATCAACCCAGCCTTCATCGAAGCAGAGAAATTCCAACATATCTCACAGTGCTATAATTGTTACTCATACTTACACACCACAAATGATTGTCCTACCAAGGACAAGAAGTTCTGCTCCACCTGTGGCCGTGAGGGTCATGACTTCAAGAATTGCACTACTGCTTCACCATCTAAATGCTTGAACTGCAAGAATGACCACCATACTCTTGCTGCCAGGTGCCCTACCAGAAGAGACATACTCAAGAAACAACAACAACAACAACAAAAGAAACCCAACCCACAAGCAACCACATATTCTGCTATCGCCAAGCTTCAAGCAGACACTACCAAGATACTACATGCCACGCAAGCTGCTCCCACCACTTCCCTGCCAGCACCTACTGCCGACTCCACCAAGATTCTTTATTGCATTATGTATGCTCATGTACAGAATGCAGCCGAGCCTGGTTCCTTCAACACCACCATCAATGAACTTTTCAAACTAAATAATATGCCTGGCCTCACATTCCCTGCATCACCACCTTCCACTGAGATCCTAAAATCTACTGCAAATATTGCCAGCATCACCGCTGCTCCACCGCTGTCACAGCCTCCACTAGACACAGAGATGGACCAATCAGAGACCACTGAGACGTCGGCAAACCCCACCAATGAGAGTCCACTATCGCTTGCATCCACTGCTAGAGCAACTGACCAGTCGGAAATCTCGCCTTCACCAGTTCAGCCACCAGCCAAGAAAGCAAAAACACAAGAAACTGCGGATGCACCTCACGGTACCACTGACACTGCTGCACCACAACAAGTCCGATACCTGAAGGGTGTATACTTCTACACAACCAAGCAGTATAAGAACACAATGCTGTCTTCAGAGGTCCATCAGCGCCTCCAGGACGGAACAGTCAAGTATACCTACGACCAAGCTGTTACATACACCACTGCAGACATGATCAGACTACTCGCTGCCAACACCCAACACCTTGTGGAAGTCGAGTACACCTCAAAGAGGAAATTCAGGATGCTTCAGAATGGGGACCTGCCTCGCATGGGCCAGTAGGCCTTCTACAGTGTTCCTCCATTCTTATGTTCTTATGACATTCCTCAGGTCACGTGCGTCACTTCTCACTCTCCGCCTATATATATAATGTCTTTCTACCTCTGTATGTTAGAAGTGATCAAGGTCCCAGGACCGAAACGTTTTCTAATAAATATGTTATAGTGTTTGCTTACGTGTCTTTCTAAACCACCTTGAAGACGGTACCTTCCTCTAGCACGACTGTCCATGACCATTCACCATGAAGATAGGTTTCCCCAGCACTTTGCTGTCCGCTAAAGCTGGGGTGTGGCTCCAATCGACCCTGTAACTGCTGCCTCTGCCGGACTGCGCTTCTCTTCGGGGAGGTCAGCGCGGGATGGAAGAAGACGACGCCCTCCAACCGGAGGGCCAAGAAAGAGGAAAGAAGATGATCGTCACCCCCCACCTGGGGGGCCGCTGCCGGGTCGCCATCTGGAGGGGACCTGGACCGGGAGTACCGGCTAATCAACATGAATGAATGAAAATGAACACCAACACACGACACTCCACACAGGAGAGCACAGCGCTAGCACGATCGACACCATGCCTTGCTCTTCTAGGGCAGGGTTGGTGCCAGAGCCCGAGTTTGTAGCTCACAAGATGAGGGGGGTACTTGTGCCTCCTCCCATGGAAGACTTAGGTCTCAGACACTCCCTAAACAGGGAGCCAGTGCCGGGCCACCAAGTGGAAGGGCCCGGGCCGGGAGAATACCGGTGAATCTTTAACAACAAACTAGAATTCCACCAGTCACCTCATGAAATTAAACGACGAACGACTAGTGATCAGAGAATCTAATTTCC